GGGAGGGGGAGAACAAAGGAATCTGTGGCTGATAGGTAAAATTAAATTAAATTATAATAAAATTTAAATAAAAAAGACTGCTCTGGTTAAATTCAGGTGGGACACATTTCATGCTGAATATATTTTCAGTTTTTATGATAATACTCCAAAATTTCAAAACAAACTTTGAGCTAGAAATAGCATTTCTTTGTCTAAGGTTATATGGCTAGTTTCCTTGATTTTTTTTTTTTAAGAAAAATCTATTTTTTATTTCCAGGTAAGATTGTAGAATAGAAGCCAAGTAATTCCAGTGGCTGATTATAGTTTGGGAACTACAAGAAATGGGAATACTTAATCACTCCATCTGCTACTTCTCCAAATCCTGGGTTTGACTTGATCATCACTCAAACTGTCCTCACCCTTGTTCCTTCCCCTTCATTGTGTCTTTCTAACAGTGTACAACAGCTGACTCTCTCACCTCTGTAAACACCTCATCTTTCCTATAAACAGGACTTCAGGAGGCCAGCAGTGGCTACGCTACCTTCCTAAATCATGACTTAGGGTGAGAGAGCTGTCAAGTCCCAGGTGTACCCCACAATGCAGCTTGCTTTAATCAGACAGTCATGGATTTGGTCTTTTCTCCTTGCACTTCTTGGGTTTAACAGAACACACCCCTTCTACCATTGGACCAAACAACACTCTCTACATTTAGAAGACTGATTGAAAATATCTTCCATAACCATAGTGGTATCTCCCCCTAGGCAAATGGAGATAAAAGACTCTTACTGGAAAATCTACAAAGGTGGATTGGTAAGGATTTCATAGAAGGGGTTCCCAGTCACTGCTGCCATGGATGTTATTGGTGCCAGAACAGGAAAGATGAAGCTGTAACTTTGAAGGGTACCAAAAACTCCGAATAGAACCTTGGGTACCACACAGCCATCAACAGCACTGTGGGAACACAGCAACTCGGACTGGCCAGACTTTGTTTAGGCTATCTACAGCCCACAGAACAAAGCATAAAAAAAAAAAAAACCAACCCTCCATGTACAAGTAGAGCTGGTAACTCACATGAGAATGATGGACCCTTTAAAAGCAGCAGAAGCATAATCTAGGGGCCAGCAGTGGTCAGTATTGATCATCACAATTTACATCAAAGAACAAAATAGTTTGGTTTAGAGGACAGAACCCTTTCTTTCTGCTGCCTCCAAGAAATGCACCTAATGGTAAAAAGAAGGGAAAAGGACTCTGAGCAAAGGAAACCAGGAAGCAATCAAGTGCTGTTCTTTTAACATCTGACAAAACAGAATTCAAACCAGTTCTTACCAGGAGAGATAAAGAGAGTTACTTCATACTCATTGAAAGAGATTGATCCATCAGAATAACTATAATTCTAAATAAAAATATATGTACAAATTATAGGCTCATCCAACTTCTTAAAGCAAACACCACAAGATTAAAAATTATGGATTAACCCAAACAAAATAATAGTGAATGACTTCAATATCTCACTCTCAGCATTTGATAGATCAACTGTCCAAAAGATGAATGAAGAAACACTGGAATTAAATAACATCATAGATCAAATGGACCTAACAGACATCTATAGAACATTCTACTCAAATGCTAAAGAATATACATTCTCTTCAGTACCCCATGGAACTGTCTTTAAAAGAGATCGCATACTAGGATAAAAAGAAAATCTCAACAAACAGAAAAACTGAAACTATCACCTATATTCTAACCACAATGAGATGATAAAACTAGATGTGAATGGCAAGAGGAACCATATAAAGTACGTAAATTCATGGAGAGTAAGCAACATAGAACTCAGTGATGATGGATCATTTAGAAATTAAGAAGGAACATTTTCAAAGTTCCTAGAATATCACTAGAATTAAGTGACAATGTAAACATAACATATCCAAATCTGTGAGAGAAGTGAAAGTTATCTTAACAAGGAAGTTTATAAGTAAAAGTGCTCACATTAAAAATTCAGAGATCCCAAATAATCAACTTGATAAAGAGTCATAAAAATTAGAGAAACAATAACAAACCAATCCCAAAGGAAGTACATGGAGAAAACCAGTGAAGATTAAGGTTAAAATTAAAGAAATATAAATTTTAAAAATAAAAAGAATCAGTAGAACATATTTCGTTCTTTGAAATATAGAAAAAGAATCACAAATTTAGCCAGTTTAACAAAAAGAAAGAGAAGACTCAAATTAATAAAATTAGAGATTGAAAGGACAGCATGACAATAGACACTGAATACATTCAGATAATTGTGAGAACATACTTCAAAAAGTCATATTCCATTAAATTGAAAACATCTAAAAGAAGTAAGTGGATTTCTAGATGTATAATACCTACTGAAGTTTAGCCAACGTAAAGTAAATAACTTAGATCTTTAACAATCAACGAGATAGAAGCAATAATTAACAATCTCTGAACTAAGAGGGAAAAAAACCCAGGGCTTGGATTCAGTGCAGAATTCTACCAGATATTCAAAGAAAAAACTAAAACCAATAATCCTCAAATTATTTCATAAATTAGAAATGGAAGGAAGAGTTACAAGCTATTTGTAGAAAGCCAGAATCACCCTGACACTAACAAATACAAAGATCCATCCACAGCTCCAAAGAAGGCATTTATCAGCCAAACTCCTTGATGAATATTGACTTAAAAATTCTCAATAAGAATTCAATGAAAATGAATGTACTACATAAGCAAACTCATGGGACACTATGAAAGCAGTTCTAAGAGGAAAATTCATAGCATTAAATGCCCACATAAAGAAGTTGGAGAAATCTCACCCTAGCAACTTAACAGCACACCTAAAAGCTCTAGAACAAAAAGCAGCAAACTCACCCAGGAGGAATAGATGCCAAGAAATAATCAAATTGAGGGCTGAAATCAATAAAATAGAAACAAAGAGAACAATACAAAGAATAAATGAAACAAAGAGTTGGTTCTTTGAGAAAATCAACAAGATAGACAAGCCCTTTTCCAAACTAATCAAAAGGCAGAGAGACAGCATCCAAATTAACAAAATCAGAAATGAAAAGGGAGAGATAACAACAGACAATGAGGAAATCCAGGGAATCATCAGATCATACTTCAAAAACCTATACTCCACAAAATTGGAAAATCTAAAAGAAATGGATGATTTTCTGGATAGGTACTACATACCTAAGTTAAATCAAGACCAGATAAACTATTTAAATAGACCAATAACTCCCAAGGAAGTAGAAACAGTCATTAAAAGTCTCCCAACTAAAAAAAGTCCAGGGCCATATGTTTCAGCACAGAATTCTACCAGATTTTCAAAGAAGAGCTAATACCAATACTCTTCAAAGTGTTCCACACAACAGAATCAGAAGGAACATTACCAAACTCTTTTTATGAGGCTACAGTTACCTTGATACCCAAACCACACAAAGATGCAACAAAGAAAAAGAATTACAGACCAATCTCCCTCATGAACATTGATGCAATAATACTCAATAAAATATTGACAAACCAACTCCAAGAATACATAAA